AGACTATGCCCGTGAGGGCTGGCTTAGGAAACCTGACTGGCCGGGGGAGTGGGGAAGATGAGGGAGGATAGAGGAAGGGGCCCAGAACGTCCATCAGTGGCCAAGCCTCCCCGTGAGTCAAGGGGGAGTCAATGCTGCTGCACACCTCAGCCAAGGAGCCACTGCCTTTCCAAACAAGAGCTTCTGTGATAGGGGCAGGCGGCACACCTGTTCCTCCACCCTGCATAAGGAAGACTGTCCCCAGGGCCACCTACCCCGGGGCTGCAGGGAGTGGGGCAGGTACTTCAAGACCATGAATCCCCTGCAATCCCCACCACAACCCTATGAGAATGGCCATATTATCACCCCCATCTTACAGATGAGAAAATGAAGGCTCAGGTGACTTATTCAAGTGTCCCTTGAGGTAAGTGGCAGAGCTGGAATTCAAGCCAAGGTGACTGTTCTTTAACTGGACATCCTGAGAGGAGCTGGTGTGTGTGTGAATGTGTGTGGTGGTGGGCGTGGGCGGTGTTTGGTGGACTTGGCCCATATAAAGAGCGGAACTCTAAGCCATCTTCCCCATGGCAGCTCCCCCCGGAAAGTCCCTGGCAGTTGCCAGCGTCTGGACTCCGCCCTGGGGTCCAGCCTCCCTTAGGTTAAGGCCCTGCAACTCCAGCAGGACTTGGGGAGGGAGGCAGGGAGACCCATTGTTCTGTTATCGCCTTGGTACAAAATAGCTGGAAATGGGGTCTGGGACAGGGCAACACCGAGTTGGGGGGCGGGGTGCTGGCAGTGGGAGCCAGAGCCTCAGGCCACCGGCCAGAGAGAAGGGGAGGCAGGAGAAAGAATCTTTGCTCCCTGGAGGGTGGGACGGAATAGAAGGTCCAGAGCTTGCGTCATCTGCTCCAGCTGCGGTCCCTCCCAGGGCTGCCATCGGCCCCGTGGGCAGGATGGGGGTCTAGAGATCCCCTAGCCCAGAATCTATCGCCAGGGCCCTCAAGCAGTGAATCCACTTGTCAAGGGCTGTACTGGAGAGGCCTGGGGACTAAGGGACTTGTGTTCAGATCTTGGCTCTGCACTACTAGCCTCGTACCTTTGGGCAAACTCCTCTTTGAAGGAGCCTCCCTTCCTTCCACCGTAAACGGGGCAGCGGTCCCTGAGTCACAGGGCTGTCGGGGGCTAGAGAGCTAATCTAGAAGTCACGGGACACAAAGGAGGCTTTATGAAATTGGCTGCACTACTGACATCCTCGCAGCAGCCTCTGGGCTGCAGGTTTCATTGGAGGCCCACAGCTAAGGAGGAAGCCGAGGCAAGGCTACCGGGTGGCTGGGCCTCGGCTGGCTCCAGCTGGCTTGCTATCAGGCCATCCCTCGAGAGCATCATTATTCCAAAGGCCGGGGCTGCCTTAGTCAGTCTTGTCTCTCAAGCAGATCCTGAGCCAGCGGAGGGCGGAGTTGCAGCATCCGTCTCCCTCATCACCTCAGCATCACCACTGGGCTCAGTGTCCAGGCTGCTGCAAAGAGTGAGGACAGAGCGGAACTGGCCGGGAGAGGTGGGTGCAGGATGCGAGTCCCGTGGCAGTGGCCCGTGGCAGTGGCAACCCCCGTCTCCATGACACGGCTCTGCAGTTGAGAAAGGTTCCACGCCCCATTTCCAAGAACCTCCAGGAACATGTGCCCTGGGATCTGGTAGTGGAGGGTTTGTCCTGGAGCTGGAAGGTGGCAGTGTGTCCTGAGTCACTGGGCCCAGAGGACAGCTGAGGTCACAGGCAGATTCTGCCATCACTGGTAAGCCAGACCCTGTCTTTGGGGCTCAGTTTCTTTGTCTAAGAAAATGAGACTGTGGTCTCTAGGGTCCCTCCCAGCCCTGCCTCACAGCAGCCACACTCCAGGCTCCTGCTGGGCCCCAGCTCAAGCTGCCCCACCCCCAAGTCCCGCCACCCCTCAGCCTGGACCGGCACACAGGTCCTATCTTCCTACTCTTTGTGTTTGAAGGGGCCCAGTTTCCAGAAAGGCAGAGGAAAGCCCAACCTTTCATCAGAAACATTTCCAAAGCTTTAGGGACAAATAGGAACATTCCCTACTGTGCCGAAGAGGGTGAAAGGTCAGGGCAGAGCAGGTGGCAAGAAGGAGGCATCCCTGGGGTCCTCCCCTGGAGGGTCTGAATCTACTGCTGTGGGCAAGGGGATCAGGCCCTCTGATGGCCTCCATCACCGCTCAGAAATCACTGGGAGGTTCTTCCTGTCTCAACGGTCATTCACATGGGCAGAACACGAAGCATTCCTGTCCTTTTCACTCAGAGAATAGGCCCGCCTGTCCCTTGGCCCAGTGACCATGTCAGGGCCCTTAGGGCAGCTAGTGTCGTCATCAGGACAGCCTGACTTCCAGATCCTATGGGGCTAGGGGTCTGGTGAGAATGCAGCAGGCACCTACCTCTCCTCCCGGCCCCAACTCTCCCCATGCCCCTCCCCCGCCCCGTGGCTGTTCAGGAACTTAGAGTGGAGGAGAAGAGGTTGGGAGAGGAAAGGAGAGGAGCTTCCTCAAAGGGATCCTCCACCAGGTTGACCCCATTTCTTCAAAAGCAAGTGGTGATCTGTCTTCTCGGTAGGCTGGGGGAGGCAGGTGGAAGGGTCCCTGCCCTTTTCCCAGGATAAGATGGGCCACAACCACAGTCCAGGACTGAGTGTCTCCCCAGTCCTGGGGTGCTGACAGTGGTTAAAGGACTAGCTCATGACTTAAAAGACTTGTGCTTCATCCTGGCTCTACCACTTATGAGCTGTATGCCCTTGGGCCAGTGACTCTGCCTCCCTGGGCCTCAGTTTCTTCATCTGTTAAATGGGTGTAATAATGACACCAACCTCTCACCAGTGAGAAGACGCACAAAAATATCCAGAACAGCGCCTGTTTTGTAGTTAATGTTCAATAATAATGCTGCTCATTATTTTTAGATTAGAAGATTCTATTCCTTGCCTCAGTTGCCCCCTTGACCAAATGTGCCTCACAGCAGGTCCCCTTTTAGGGATCATGTGCCCGGTCGGAGTGGGGTGTTCAGAAGGGAGTGGTCATAAGAAGGAAGTGGGATGAGAGAGAGCAAGGGTCACTTTGGGGCAGGAGGATGATGCTGCACTGGCCCTGGGAGGGGTCCCACCAGTGTAGCAGGATAAACAGTGAGACACAGGGTGCCGGGGAGGTATCGTGGGCCAGGAGTCAGAACATCAGGCACCCCGCCCTGCAGCTGCCACTCCTGGCCTGTGTGTGTCCTGGGGTGACTGATATACTGTCTCTGAGCCTCACTTCCCTCACCTGTGAAATGGGAGGAATTCATCCCTTCTCAGTCAGCCTTGCCTCCTATCTCTTCCTCAGCCCCTCACTCCCCTGCAGCTGCAGGGCACACACATTCCAGCCTCAGGGCCTTTGCACGGGCTGTCCTCTAGCTGTCTACACAGCTCACTCCCTCATCTCCCTCAAGGCTTTAGCTCAAAAGTTACCTCCTCAGGGAGGCCTCCCTGACACCCTGTTTAAAATGACAACCCAGTCCCTGGCCTCAGTACCCCCAACACAACTTTTCCCCTTCACCTCTCAGTACACTATATAATTTGCTTATTGTTTTTTGTTAGCTAATTGCCTCTTCCTGCCCCCTGCTTTTAAGCATTAGCTCCATGAGGACAAAAATTTTTATTTTTTCCACAGCTATCTCCCCAGTGCCTGAAACTGTCCCTGGCACTTTTCTCCATATGCCATTTTTGGTGTAATGCTCACAAACATTTTGTTCGATAAGCAAAAGTAAAGGACAGCCCCAAACTGTGTCACTATGGGACATTCCTGTTAACTCCAGCCCACTCCTCTGCCATACCCCTAGAGGGGCAGGCCCTTCTTCCCACAGAGGTGGGGCTATCTAAAGAACTTGGGAGGCTGGGTGTGAGCTGGAGAAGGCACAGGGGGCCTGGAGGCAGAGCTGTGCAGAAAGCAGGTCGCAGTCCTAGAACCGGCAGGTCATGACAGCTGGACATGGGTGAAGGGGCTTTGGGCCTTAGTCCTCCACTCCAAATTTGGAAGCACGGAGGAAGTTGACGACGTGTAACTGGGAAAGAAGCGGCCAGGGCAGAGGCCTCCTGGGATCGTGGAACAGTGGGGGCCTCAGGAACAAGACGACCCATTTTACAGATGGGACAACAGAAGCCTAGAGAATAGTCTTATTTCCTAACAACCCAACAAGAAAAATCTTTTCTCTCCTTTCTTGAAGTCTGGGATTGAGGCTAAAGGGCGGACAGTGCCCCCTCCTGGCTCTGCAACAAAACGACCCCCGCATCCCTGGGATCTGCCGGCCGCAGGTCCTGGTCCCCTCTCCACAGGCCATCGGGGATGGAGGTTCAAGGGACCACAGAGTTGGGGTGGGCAGCCCCGGTGACTTCTCCTCGCAGGCCCGCCCCGTCAAGAAGTTTGTTTGAAAGAAACCAACCAGGAAGTGAGGGATAGTAGGGTGGTGAGGGGGCCTTGGCCAGCCGCTCTGGGCTTTGGAGGAGCCTCGGGGTTCTTGGCCTCTGCGCTACTCCTGCCCCAGCCTCCATCGCTCCGGAGGAGAAACCCACTGCCCCCGAGCTCCAGGAGGAGGCGGAAGCCCGCGACTGGGTCAGGGCGAAGGAGCTCAGAGCGAGGGGACCCAAGGCGAGCGCCCCGCCCCGCCCCGCCCCGCCCAGTAGGGCGCGCCGGGGTGGGCGCGGCGTTCTGGCCTTTCCTCCACACAGCCTCCACCGGGTAGGTGCGAGTGCTCTGCCCACGGCAGGGGCCCTAGCCCACCCAGCGTCCGGCCAGTAGCCCCACACTGCCCCCTTCCTGCAGATCGCGCGACTTGGGGGAGGGTGGGGGGCGTCTCCACCTGTGCGTCCCCTACCCACCCCCTAACTGGGCTCAGGCGCGGCCTGGATTTCTGCCCGCCCCTTTCCAGCCTGGGGACTGGGGACTCTCCCAGCCTCGCCCCTCCCCCTCCAATCTGTCCCTCATGTCCCCGCTCCAGACACTCACCCACTTTCTGAGACCCGGGCCGAGCGCCGGTGTCCCCCGGCGGGGAGCTCCGAGTCGTTAGGCGGCCCCAGGTCCTCCGGCCCAGGGCCCCTGCCCCCAGGCCCCCGCCCCAGAAGGTCAGGCCAGACTTGTGGGCAGCGGGAACTCCGCCACCACCTCCGTCCGCGGCCCTGCGGGGGCAAAGACGGGGGGAACTCGCAAGTTTGCGCCGCGCACTCCTCCGGCCGGGAACAATGGCGGGAGGGGGAGGGGACAGAGAACCGAGCGCGGGGACCGAGTCAGACCGTAGGGAGACAGAAACTGCTTTCGCTCGGTTTCTCTCCTGCACCGAAGCAGAAAGCTCGAGCCCGAGAGGCAGAGGCCGAGGACGAAATAAGCAGTCCAGGAGGAGGGCGACCGCGGAGCCGGGGGAGAGGGGAAACCGAGTCAGAGGGAGGGGCGGCAAGGGGAGAGCGCGCAGGGGAGACGGAAAGGGCTGCGAGACGGCGCCTTGGGGAGTCGGGGAGGCGACCCCCTGGGGTCCCAGCGGGCTCAGCGGATGCCGAGATGTCCCGGGGCGCCTGGCTAGCGCGCGCAGGGTCCCGGCCGCCCCCCTGCGGTCCCGGCGGCCGCAGGAGCCCCGCTGGGTTGCGCTGCGCAGGCGGCGGACGGGGGGCGGCAGGCGGCGGGCGGGGAAAGTCCGCGGCTCGGAAGCGGCGGCGGCGGGGAGCAGAACTTACGGGCCTCGCGCGTGCCGGCGCCAGGCTGCGTGGAGCTGGTGTCAGGCGGAGGCTCCGGGCTTGGGCGCCTCACATCGCGCCGCCCGCGCGGGGCCGGGCAGCGCAGGGCAGGGCAAGGCAGGGCAGGGCAGGGCAGGGCCGGCTGGACTGCGCGCGGCGCCCTGCGCGGCCGGGGCTTACCGAGTCTGGCGGCCCGCGCTGGTCCCTCCTCTCGGTTCCGCGCACAAGCCAATGGCGCGCCGTCCCCTCCCACGCGCCGGGCTGCCTCGCCCCCAGGGTGGCCGCCGGGGCTGGTGGGATGGGGGTTGGCGGGGAAACCGGGCTCCCGGCTCCCCCGCGAGGCTCTCCCGGGGGCCGCCTGCAGGGGGCGCACGCGCGCCCAAGAGAAGGCGCCGGGGGAGGAAGTAGCGCGGGGAGACCCTGGCGTTGCCCGCGCCGCCCAGGAAGACTTTCCTGGCAAGTTCTGCAGACGGTGCCCCTTTCTTGGGACGATCAACGTAGATGGGCAGACCACACCATCTTAAATAGCCTTGCGATGTCTCCCGGGCCCAGGTCGGTGTCTGAAATGGAAGGTACTGCTTTGGCTGGCGGTGATACCCAAGTGTGTAATAACACAGTCACGACAATAGTCACCGTTTGCTGCGCACTCTCTGATGCCAGGCACCATATGCTAAAGGAGTTACAAGTATTAACTCATTTGATTTTCACAGCAACCCATAAGGGCGCTGTGCTTAGTCCCATTTTACTGGCGGTGGTCGTTGAAGTTTGAGTTCGCTCAGCCTTCAGGCTTCCAGCTTAGGCCCACCCTTCTCTCTCCCTGCTTGGTGTGACTTGGCCAAATAACATGACCCCTCCGTCACTACCGCCACCGTCTTCATACTCCACCCTAAAATCCAGCTTGACGATGCTGCTGTCAATTGCACTGTCAGGGGACTAGGATCTTATCTGGGGCTCTAGGACGCTTGTTGGGGCCACAGTTGTCAAACCTTTTGTCTCTATACATCCTATGGGGGCCTGGGATGAGGATGAGGGTTGGGGGTCATGGAGGCTGTCTGGTGGCCTGTCAGCCTAAAAGAACCAGGTTCCTACAGACAAGGCCCCACCCGAAAATTCTGGGCTCCTTCCACCCCTTATGGTGGGAAAATAATGTGCTGTCTTCCACCCTAACCCCCACCACCCTATGCTCTCCTTAGAGAAATGCCTGGATCTCTTTCATCTGGTCTGATGGTCACAGTGGGCCAGGAACCGGGGTGGGGGGCTGCGGGAAAAGGAAGGCAAGGCTGATGACGTGCTCCATTCCACAAGTAATTAAGAGAGAAAGAGGTGAGTGGCTGCCCCAGGCATCTAGCTAGGTGGGCATTCTGACTCCAGGTCTCAATTCTGTCTGCACCAGTTCCTTAAGGGTTACCAGATCACCTAGGTTCAAATCTTGGCTCTGCCTTTTAGTCCCTCTGCGGCCTTGGACAAAATAAGTCACCAATAGTAACCAATAGTAGGAACCAATAGTAGGAACCGGCTATGGTTGCTGTAGAGATTTAGAGTTAATAGCAGCTGCTCATGTTTATTGAGCATGGACTCTGTGCCATGCAGGCTCCCACTGTCCTCACCAGAGCTGGGATTGGGCAGGAGAGTCTGTGCCCTTGGCAAGGAAGTAAACAGAACAGTCCTTTGTTCATAGTAAGTGCTCAGTGACTATAAGCTGTTCTGATTACTAAGGTAGATAAACTCGGATGCCCCAGTGCCACTGACACTGCCCCCAGCCAAACACCTGGACAATGATAGCCAATAATGAATGAATCAATCAATCAATCAAAGTATGTGACTCTAGATGAGTATTATTTTTAAGGTGTGTTGGATGGAGCCATCTGACTCAATGCTCTATAGTAATTTCTGCAACAACTCAGTCTCACCTCACTGCTTTTACAGAGCTGGGCCAAGCTGGGTTGATAAATTCATTTGTCACTCCCTCTTCTGCCTTTCCGGCACTCAGGGCTCTGGGTTGCTGAAGGGAGGGCCCCCAGCATCATTCATGTGTGGTGTCCTCCCAGACTTGGGGACACCTGCCTGTGCTCTGCTTGGTGTAACCCTAGAGACTAGCAGCAGAGTCTGTGCTTGTAATCCCAGCCAGCCTGATCGTACATCAGTAGGGGGGCCTTTGTCACAATCACTCCAAGTTCTCCGACATGGAAGAGGCTGCCTTAGTTGTCATGAATGAGTGCCCTGTCACCAGCAGCATGCAAGCAGAATCCAGGGAAGGGTTGATGAGGACACCAGAGGAAGAATTCCCACCTTAAGTGGTATTTGGAGTGGATAACCTTTGCCCTCTGGGTGTCTGTATTCTCTCAGTCTCCCAAGCTTATCAACGGGGAAGCTGGGGAGGCTGGGAGCTCAGGCTGGGTCGAGGCTGCCCCACCATCCTTTGTGAAGGAGGCCATCCTGACTGTGCCTGACCCATATACCAGGCAAGGTGTTATGTCCTGGGGCCCCAGGGGTGAACAGGACAGTGTCCCTGTCCTTGGAGAGTTCACAGCCCCCTTGTAGATGACTGCACAGATAGTCAACAGCAGCAACAGTAAACGCTCAAGATAACAGGCAAAGTGCTTGGAGGGGGGCCAGGGGAGAAGCAGCCGGCTCTATCCATAACCCCCTGCATCCGCTCTCCCGAAAGCACCCATTAGAGGCTCTTATTGTCTTCCTCCCTATATACTTTTCATTTATTTTATTTATTTATTTTTTTTTGAGATGGAGTCTCACTCTGTCACCCAGGCTGCAGTGCAGTGGCACAATCTCGGCTCACTGCAAGCTCCACCTCCCAGGTTCACACCATTCTCCTGCCTCACTCAGCCTGCCGAGTAGCTGGGACTACAGGCGCCTGCCACCATGCCCGGCTAATTTTTTGTAATTTTAGTAGAGATGGAGTTTCATCGTGTTAGCCAGGATGGTCTCGATCTCCTGACCTCATGATCCGCCAGCCTCGGCCTCCCAAAGTGCTGGGATTACAGGCATGAGCCACCGCGCCCAGCCTCTATATACTTTTCTAAAGTGATGTGTCCAGTTCAGAAACATCCCTTAGGCAGCCATTCTGCCCTCAACTCTTCTGAGTTACCTGATCTTTACACGGGGCATTAAAAAAAAAAATTCACCTCGCTGGGCTGCTGTGAGAAGTAACATTGACATTCATTAAGTGTGCCCCTAATGCCAGGCAAGAATAGATGCTTGGTGCATGGTAACAATGAGGAGTCATCATTATTCACGGTGAGGGTGAGATAAGTCGGCGAGGACCTTGGCTCTGCTCCTAAGTAGCTATGCGACCCTCTCCTGCACAGATATAAAAATATCTGCCTCATAGAACTTGTGAGAGTCAAGTGAGGTGATTCGATGGAAAAGGTTTGCAAACTGGAAATGCTGATTCTTATTGCTAACATTATTATTGTGATTCTTACCTTGGTGAAGTGTTCCTCTCAAGGCCCCAGGGGGGTGGGGACGGCAGTGGGGGTGGGGATGGAGCCAGGAGGCAGCCAGCAGCTGTTGCAGGGGTGGGAGGGTCCCTCCCTCCAGACTCCCACAGGAACCTGGGAGCAGCAGGGGCTCCATCTGCCCTGGTCGCCCTCCACAAGCGGGGCAGCAACACCTCCTTGGTGGCCAGGTGTGAGTGAGCCCTTAAGAGTGTGCCTGTGTGTCTGTGTTTGTGCCCCCGCAGGAACGTGGGGTGAGCACAGGGATTGCCAGTGTCTGCAGCCAGAAATCACTATGGATGAGGAAGAATGGGGATGTAATTGGATTCCAAAGATGCTTGGAGTGAGACTACTGTTAGCACCTGGGACTGCAGGAGAAAGGCCTGCGGAGCGGGGGTTGGGCCTAGTCTTTGGGGTTGGGGCGGGGAAAGAGGTTTCAGCACTGATGGGCACTTGCGGAGGAACATGATGTTGTCAGAGACCTGTTGTGGTTGAGCCCAGGGATTTTGGAGCTGACAGATCTGGGTTCAAGTCCTGGTTGTGGGACCATGGGCCAGTGATTTCACTTCTCTAGGCCTCGGTTTGCTCATCTGTAAAATGGAGATAATAACAGGGCCCACCTGGTGGGAGTTATTGGAGGTTTAGCAGAGAGGCTGCATGTGAAGCCCTCAACACGGGGCAGGCACATCGGCAGTTATCAATTAGTACCACTGGTGTTATTATGAGGCAGCCTGGAGGAGGGGAGGGAGAGGGCCTCAGGACTGCTGGTGCGTTCTCAACTGGAAAGGGGAGCTCTGGGGTGAGAGTTGTCTAGCCAGGGTTCATTGAAGCTGGCACAAAACCCAGAGAGAAGGAGCCTCTGTCCCATGACACAAGGATTGAGGCAGAGAGCTGGGCTTTCACAACTGCTTCTGGTTCCCCTTCCTGGTTTCCACTCATTTCCTCCAGAGCTTCCTTCTCTGTGAACCTGCCTGGTGAGGAGAACTCTGTTACATGTAGTTTTGGGGACTGGAAGGAGCAGCTGGGAGCTCAGGAACTCCCGGGCAGGCCTCCCCAATACTTCCTGCCCCCACCCCTCCAGAGTGAGCACTGACCAGCCCTCCTTCCCCCACCCCACTCTCCTGCCAGCTGCTTCCCTCCAGTGACTCATCCCCACCACCTCTGTTGCTGCACCAGGACCAGGAAATGTCAAGCAGTTTCTTATCTGTGGGAGAGAGAACTGATCAGGATGGGGGTGGAAGCAACGAGGCTCAGATCTCCCCAAAGAAAGAGTATGACAGCTAGGGGACCAAAGACCATGGCCAGCCCTTTCCTGCTTCCTGTGGGGGAAGGCTCAAGGAGGCAGTATGAGAGTGGGATTTAGCCACTAGACCCATCCTGGATTTAGGCTCAAGGTCCTAGTCCTCTTCTAACCAGCTCTGTGGCCTTAGGCAAGTAACTCAGCATCTCTGAGCCTCAGTGTGTTCATCTGTCAAATGGAAAGAAGAAAATCATCATGATGCATAGGGTACTTGGGGGGTTTCGTGAGACAGTACATGTAAGTCCGGAGCTCACAGTCAGTGCTCAATGAATGTTCATTGACTCGGTGAATGAACTGACATATGGAAATGGCAGTGAACTGGGCACATGTGGCTATCTGCAAGAAATCCACCCTCCACCAGCTGGGAGAGTTGGGGAGATGTCTGTGGACCTTGTGTCCTAGGCCTGGGACACCTGTTGCTCTGTGCTGGTACTGAAGGGACAGCTTCCAAAACTCAGGGCAGATGGAGTATGGACTACCCCTTGTGGGCATAGCTGACATTAGAACCTCAGGCTAGGTCCAGATTCTCTAAGTGGTGAGCCCTGGCCAAGGAAAGAATTGCTATGCAGGGAAGTGAGTAGCAGATTTTGGACCCTCATCTTGGGTGACCCCCAGGACCTCTTCACAAAGAGTGCCCAGAGCTCTTCACAGTGAGTGCCCAGAGCAGCCTCTGGGCTGTGGGATCATAGTCTTGGACCCTGGGCAGCCAGCTAGGCCAATGGCCACCACTTCACTTGCCTCCTGCCCAATGGTAAAACCCCAGGGGGCTTTATCATTATTTCAAAAAATAGCACTCTGAGTCCCTACTATGTACCAGACGCTGGTCTAGGTTCTTACATGTAATTAATCC